TCCTTTTGAAAGGGCACTCATGCTACTCAGCTTTTCATCACTGTCATCAAAATACCAACAAGATCAACTAAGATGGGGAAAATTTATTTTGAGATCAAAGTTTCAGGGACTCAGTCCATGGCCAGTCATTTCTATATCTCTGGGCCCAAGGTGAGGTGGAGCATCATGGCAGAAGAGCATGGTGGAGGAAAACTATTTAGCTCCAGCTAGCTAGGAAGCAGAAAGAGAAGAAGGAGCAAGAGACATAATATAATCCACCAAGGGCATACCCACAGTGACCTACTTCCTCTAGCCACACCCTACCTGCCAGGAGTTACCCCTTATATTCCAATCAAATTATTAATCCATCAAACGGATTAATCCATTGATTAGGTTATAGTTCTCATAATCTAATCATTTCACCTCCTGTATTAACACAAGGGCTTTTGGGAGACACCTCATATCCAAACCATAACAGCACTAATCCTATTCATGAAGGCTTCACCTCATGATATAATTATCTCTTAAGTAATTAGATCACTCTGGGAATTAGGAATTCAATATATGAATTTAGAGGGTACGCAAACATTCAGTCCTAACAGTGGTAAAATGCACCTGTTAGCTGAACTCCTCTATCATTGTTCTATGGCATAGACATTGCTTTATAATCAAACTTCACACATAATACCATCCTTTCATTTGTTGATTTCTCACCTCAAGTTTTAATCATTATCCACTGAAGGGTTTTATGTTCTCTGATTAGTCGCAACAGCTTCACAATGATTATAGGGAAAGGCATCAAGTCTTTAAGAGAATCATGTTTGTTTGGAAACTTTTGAAGATATTTCAGAGCAGGTGGTACTTTAATTTTGACAGAATGTTCATGGTGGGGTTGATCAGAATTGGCCATTGATACAGGAGAAAATTGAGAGGTGAACTTGGATAGGAACAGTGAACTCATATTCTGGAAAAACTAGAATATGTGAATGCTACAGAAAATGAGTCTAAAAGCACAAATGTGGATGTCTTGTATTAGGAGTACATAACCTGCAGGTCCTAGGCAGGACGTGTCTGCTTGCACTGAGGCTTTGATGCAAAGAGATTAACTGAGGGCTTCTGCCAACATGGAGACATACCGTGAGGAGAGCCCCAGCAGAAAAGGGAAAGGCTGGGAGTGTCGACAGCACTTAGAGACCAACCCTATACAGGGTGCAGGAGGAAAGAGTAGTTAGCCATGACCTGGCTGGCACAGGTCTAGATAGCTGGTAGTAAGGCAAACTGATATAAACATGTCTCCATTTGCTGAAGTTCCAAAGAGTATGTATGTATGAGGACATCCAGAGGTATGCTGAGAAACAAGACCAAAGACCATCCATACTTGAATGATCTGTTCCTTTGTTCAAAAAGAAAAAGAAAATCTCTACTCTACCATTATATATTAGTGCAAAAAAATAAACAAACAAAATACAATTTACAGCATTATTCATATCAACATTGTAGGTTAAAAAGAGAGTCGGACATTCATAGATGCCTACAAAACCAGGCAGTTATGTAAAGGATGCACACCCTCATGCAAAGTCTCCAGGGAGCTACAATAAAGCAGATAACTCTGGTCTGGAAAAGTACATGGGACTGTTGGTCACAGCCCCAGCAAAGAATGCCAGTAAAATATGATGATAATGTTATCATTCTCTGCATGAAAACAAAGGAAAATTCTCTTGACGAAAGAGAGGAAGCATGAGGGTCAGATTGGAGGGGTGATCAGGGATACAAGTGATCCCCCTGGCTATGTTCACCAGTGAGGTATAAAAGGCAAGCCACAATGTTGCCAGTGCCAGTTCGCCTAACAGGTCTATCTAGCCTCCTGTTGAAGAAGATGTCAAGAGCAGCAAAAGAAGCTAAGCCTTTGAAATTTCACCAGGAAATGAAACCAAATTGCTCGGTTCATGATTGGGCTACTTCTTCTTTCTTGATGGAGTAGAATGAGCTAGGAAGTACTGGCAGGAGCAGGCAGGCCTTATGTGTATGTGGGATGGGAATACAGAGGTGTTTTCTCCTCTATGCTAAGCATCCTTTAATGTCTGATAAAGTCCTGCCTCTAAAGTCTTGAAGATCCTCACACTTATCCTACAGTAGGAAAGAGTTTCTACTTTTCCATTTTTGTCCTGTTTTGTCTAGTTAGATTATATGTGTTATTTCCCCCACCTGGGTCATAATTTGCTTGGAGCCAAACTCTATGTCTTATTTATCCTCAAACTTCCTTCGTCATGGTACTTGATGTCAAAAATATCCAGTAAAGAGAAAAGTGAACCTCAGGGAGAGCCTCATTACCTTATTGGACTTTCCATAATGCAATTTGGAAAACATGGAGGCTCACATAGGGGAAAATGTTAGGAAGAGCCAACTCAGAAAGAGAAAAGATGCTGCATTTGGCTGTCAATCAACTAATGTTTGAAGATAGAAAAACTCTGCATTTTTAGTTAGGAAGAGGGAGAACTATCACCCGCTTTTGCACTCAGGGGCAAATTCTATACTCCTGAACATGGCATGCAACTTCAGGTAGGAATAAGGGAGTGAAAAGTAGGGCAGCTAGAGGAACTGAACAGGTTGGGGATGATAAGAAAGCACTTTTGGCAGGTGAAGAAGGACAGGATTAAAAAGAATTTGTCCTATTCCATGGGGGGAATTTTTCTCACAAATTCATCATTGTAATCCCAGAATTTAGCATAGTAACTGCCACTAGTAAAAGTGATCTGACTAATCCATGAATCAATGGGGAGTCAATTAATGGATACCATGGATGGATGAATGACTTCTGTTTGGGACCAGCATAGATTCAGACAGGCTTGAAGTAGAAAAGCAGGGAGAAGGAATCCTGATCCTCTGTGTTTGTTCAGCCATTCCCTAGCTCAGAAGACAAAGCAGGAACCTAGTACTCAAACTCTGCCCATAATAACAGAGAAGAACCAGACTGTAAAAAAGCTTCCTTAGCCTTATTTACTAGGACAATCAGCCCACTTGAGCAAAATAAAATGAAATACTTTTTTTTTTTTTTTTTTTTTTTTTTGCAGTGCTGGGTGCAGGGTCTCATGCATTTTAGGAAAGTGCTCTACCATTCATACATGAAAATTCTTAAGGTGCACTCAGATCTCAACATACATTTGAATTAAAGAGGTTGTAATGTATTAAACAGAATCAAATGGCAAGACTGAATTGAACAGTCACAGACCAAAGTGAGCTAAAGAGAGGAGACTTCCTACCAGAAGTCAGCTTTGGCCCGGTTGGAACATGGAGTCGCACAGATACCTCAAAATCCTCAGCAGCTTCTGTAATCCTGGAAGGCATGTGACCTCCAGATAAAACAGGGTCCCCAGAGTCAGCCTCTTCCTGCACTGGCCTGCAGTTCCCTCTAGGCATGTGTTATCTCCTTGCACCAAGTGTTGTTCTCTGCTTTATGTGTGAACTTCCAGGAGAAAGGTATCATACTGTGTGGAAAAAATACAATTCTCTCTCTCTCTCTCTCTCTCTCTCTCTCTCTCTCTGTCTGTCTTTTGGGCTCCTTGAGGGGCATAATACATTAGAGAACTAAGAATATTCAGGAATGAAGATATAGGGATAATACAGAAAATCCAGAGCACCCTTAGGCTTCCACTAGGACCACAGGTTAGGGCTGAGGTCTTCAGGTCCAAAGGTACATGGGGAAAGCAGGAAGTAACTAAAGCAAGAGCTGGAAGAGAGGGAGAGCCAGGTAATGAAGGAGGAGTGCTAAAGAATCCTGTTCCAGAAACACGTTTGTCCTTCCCATCTGATGGGGCTGTAATTATGGGGGGACTGAGCTGATGAGGCTCAGAGGACCATTTCCAATACACTGGCATCTTTCCTCCATGGTCATCTCTGAGAAAAATATTAACTTAGAGATGGATAAATATCTGGGAAATTCAGATCATCTGCACAGTGAGTGTGGACTCCTTGCAAGCGGGCTGAGTTTAGACAGAACTTCTCACACCTCACACCGTTAGAAGATCTGACTCCTCTGTATTAACCTCTCTGGGTACTGGGGCAGATCTCTGAGAGAAAAGATGGCAGCCCTTAGTGTCTGTCCCCAGGCCCTGGTTGGAAAGTACCCTCATCCAGAACACAGATAGGCAACATGAAACTACTTATGAAAATGGTATGGCATCCACTCAAAGTAAGTTTGGGAGGAACACATCTCCCCATGAAGAAATCATCATGGTTTATGGGTGGGGGTTGTGCTCAGCTTCTAGGTTCACAAAAATACAAAGATTGTGTGTCTTGTAGCAATAGAAGCAAGCTCCCAGGAGTAGTTAAGACTTCTTCTGGGACATAAAGATTAAAATGGAAGGAATGGAGCTGGGTCTTCCAGGTAGTATGCATCACATAATTCTTTCTGCTAGGTTATTGGCCTGATCTAAATTCCTTACTGGACTCTAATCTGCATCATGTCTGATAATGTATCTCCCTGATATCAGAAATTTATTATAGGTTATTTGATTTATTTGTTGATGAGTGATAGAAGGTATGTTTGGACTACTTCGTAAGTGGAGGTCTGCTTGGCCATGGCTGATCTAATTTAGGTCCAAGAACTTGGAAACCTGGTCACACAAAGAAAGCCCAAGGCTAATCTCTACAGAGCCTGGCTGCTCAGTGCTGTCCTATGGTGAGTTTCTTCTGTTTTTGTCTTTTTTAGGCTGAGCTCAGACCTTTTCTAGCCTTCTTACTGAATTCACAGAAAATCCCTACCTACTCCCCGGGGCTCACTCCCAAACACAAACAAATGGAGGATTATTTGGTGAGATATTTTACAAACCCAAGTTATGGCTTGGCAGTAACTTAACCAAGAGTCTCTGTTGTAATATATGGAGATTTTAAATAATAGAGAACTGAAGCTTTATGGTCCCAGCAGAAAGGAATCATCCAAATAAACTTCATGGTAATTTTTTTTTTATTTATTCCCTGTTACAGAATATTTTTTCTGTTACCCTCAGGTGGCCTCAGTTGGACATGCTCCATTTGTTCCAGCTCCACTGGATCCCAGGTGACTTCTGTGGATGGAATCACCCAGGTTCACCACTGTCTGGCTTCATGAGGTCCTGGCAGGGTAGAAGGACAGAGCAGTTGAGACTCTGTTCTGTGAGCTCACACCTGGCAACTCTGATTCTTCATTAACGTCTCCCCTTCCACAAGGACAGCAGCAAGTCTCTCTGGGAAAGATCCATCTTGATCTTTAAGGTCTGAGCATTCCTCTCCCCAGATAAGACTCCCTCCCCCAGGTACCCTCCCTTTCCACCCTGCGCAAGCTCACTCTCCAGTGGTTGACTTCAGGTGCACATTATTCAAGGTCTGCTCAGTTGTCAGAACAGCTCATCCATTTGTTCCTGTTGGGGTTGGATGCCACAGCCATAGACCTCCCATAGGCAGGTCCCTTGCCTTTTGGGTTACCTAGACAAAGACCAAGAAGACGGGAAGCGAGGATTAAGAAGTTGTACCCTTTTTAAAGCACTATGCAAATTCAGATTATCAACACCATCATTAACAGACAACCCTAAGGATATTGGTGATGACAGTGATTTTAACCATCCTTCGGGAAGCACGCCTCCCTTCTTCCCTTTACAATGCACAGTCTGGCCCTCACAATGGTGGCCTGAAAACTGTACACCCATGGAATCCTGGGTAAAAGCTTACTGGATTTCTCTGTGCTTCTGGTGAAGTGCACAAAAAGGGTGTGTTGGTGGGTTGGGTGCATGTATGTGTGTGTGTGTGTGTGTGTGTGTGCGCGCGCGCGTGCGTTCAGGCACGTAGACTGATTGCCTTATGTCTCCAATAGGAAATGACTCCAAGGTAAGGCACAGGGGGAGGCTTTGCCGGCTGCAAGCTCCTGGGGTGTAGCCATAACCATAAGGGCTGAGAGTTTGGGGAAAAATCGTTCGCAGTATGGAAGATGTTCCTGCATTTGAGGGGAGCATTTCTTCAGGCCATTGTGGACCAATAAACAGTTCAATTTTTTCATTGTTCTAATTAATTTAATTAAGTTAACTTCCAAGGTGTGTTAAGAAGCAATGCCTTGGGTGATTAACTGTTCCCATATCAAGGTGTTTTCACAAACACATTTACCCTGATTAGTGTACACATTATTATGTAATTAAATACCTCACACAGAGGAATTTATTAGTGCCTCCTTGTCTCCTAACAAATAAAGCAGACTCAAAATCTCTTGGAAAACACAATTCCAGTTGCTAAGCAAGAGGGACAGACAGATGCAGAGACAACCTAAGATCTAGACTGGGAAAGAAGTCCTCTGAACTCCCACAGCTGACTCCATCACCCTCTGCTGTCCCTTCCAGGGCAGTGCCACTTCCCAGGGGGCTGCAGCCTGGTCCACTCAAAACTCATTGCACATGTGCATGTCCTGGAAAGTCCATGCGACCTATCAGAAAGTGTCCCTTTACAAGGAGGATTCAGAGCAGGTCTTTGTGTGGAAAAAATGCTCACCCCCCACTTGATCCATGAACATTCCTCCATGCTTCCTTGGGAAAATTTGCAGAGTTCACAAAGATTCATTTTAGCTCCCTCCTCCTCCTGTACCACCTACTACGTGCCACATTCTGTGCATCTAGTTTTTGTAGGACCCCCTCCCTTTTGAACGGGAAGAGAAGTCCCATATTTTGAGATATGAAAGTGAGTGAATGTGGGGGTTTTAGAACTAGAAGAAGCATAGTTCTTTCTGGAAAAGGCACCATTCTAAAGCCTTTTCTCTCATGACCACCAACCTCATTGAGTGTATGGGTCAACCCTACAAATCCTAAATGTATCCTAATAAGAGTGTAACTTACACCTACTAAGCTGAGCATGTATACTTCTGCACTACTGTGATAAGTACTTTGTCCTTTGCCTAATTTAATCCTGCAAGCTCCAGGAAGTAGGTGTTTTTATTATCACCATTTAACAGATGAGGACACTGAGGCACAAGGCGTTTAAGGACCCTCCTTGAAGTCACAAAGCTAGGAAGTAGCAGTCCTGGAAACACACACTGCCATCTGACTTGAAAGTCCCTGGTCCTGGCCTCTGCTCTAGCCCCTGCCTCAGACTCACTGCTGAGAGGCAGAGCCAGAGCAAGGTGCACCCTGATTTTCAGGTCTCGGGACCTCAAGGCACATGCCTTTGGGGTGAGAAGCTAGACACTTTTCTGTGCTTGCCTGCTCCATTTGATGCAGTGAGGCCCAGGCAATGTAGCCAACTCAGAGAGGATAAATTAAGTGACATTTCTGGGGAATGTAGAAAATACTACTGAAGGCCAAGTGAATCAATGCTGAACGCAGAACAAAACAGTTCCCACCACTGGGATCAGACTGTTCAGGTTGGTGGCAGGGAGAGAGAATTATGTGAGCCGGGGGCTAGCTCCTGAGGGAGTGGAGATTGATTCTGTATGATTGATGACGCGGGGACAGAATGCCAAGTCATCAATTGCCTCAGCTCATGCCATGGACGGCATCAAGATCACTTTTCCCAGGTGCCCGGCCTGAAAGATTTCTCTTCTGTTTGTTTGTTTGGCCTGGGGCAGGAGCCTGCCGGGCTCAGCTGTGTAACATTACCCAGGCCTTCCAAGAAAAGACAGGTGACAACATCTGGCAGGAGGGCACAGAACTTGAAGGAGGAGTGATAGGATTGGAAGCAAGCGTAGAGGTGGGGGTGGGCAATACTAGGGGGAAAAATCTCGCATTCTAGTTCCACACGTGCCCGTGTGTAATATTTGACTAAGAAATTTTATTTGACAGAATGTCTTCCCACAATGATCCCAGTGGTGGGAACCGCTGTGTTCTACATTCAGCATTGATTCAGCACTTGGCCTTCAGTGTATTTCCTACATTCCCCAATGGCAGCCCTTGTATCTCATTGGATATTAGGAAAAGGCAACTCTCTCCAAAATTTGCTCATGTTGGCCTTGAAGTCTAATGTTGCTTTCTTTGACCTTCATCAAGATTTCTTGGAAACATTTATAATTTGCTTTATACAGCCTCATCTTTACTTGCATATTATCAGATGGCCCATTCTGGCTCTCTATATGAAACTTCAACATCCCAATTAAAACGGGTACTTCCTGGGGGTAGAGACAACCATAAAACTAGTTATCCCAATCAGTTTTATAATATTACACTATATAACACATATTGTATATGTAAACATATATAAAATATGTGATTATAAATTTATGCTTACTAAACATTTATAACTTTATGCTAATATATATATATATATATATATATATATATATATATATATCCTATAAACCACAAGACTCCACATAAATAGTACCAGGAAGGCTGCAACTCAAAACAGAGTCAAGATATTAAAAATTTCCACCAAAAATAACAAGTGTGATTTTTTTGGAACCTAGGGGAAGTATAAGACCTATGGTCTTTTGCAGATAATAACAAGTTAAGAGATAGTAGTGAGAAATTTCAGTCCTTTCTATTTTACTCTGTTTCCTCTGACAAATAGTAATAAACTAGCTTGACAGGTAGAATAATAAGGTTAGAAGGGAATTAAATCCCAATGTAAGTGAAAGGGCGGTGGTAAAGCACATATCCACTTTTATAAAATCTCTGTCTTCTTACAACACAGGTAATTCATACATTTAATAAAACAATTGGGAGAAAAGAAAAGGGCAGAAAGAAAAAAATAATAAATATCTATGAACCACTATCCAGTGATGATCATTATTAAGTACTAGTCATATTTTCTCTATCATTCCATCAGTCTGTGGGCTTGTGCATATGTGTGTATTTAATTGGAATTTTAATATATAAACCCTTTAATTAGTTCTTTAGGCTCAGGATAAAATTCTACTCTAAGGTGAAGAAAACAATTGGAATTTCTTACATCACAGAACAATTGCACAGAGCAAGTGAGAGTTAAAAGAAATGATGAAAGGAAGGAAGGGAAAGATGGAGTAAAAATTCTCATTTTCTTCTTAGACTCAAACATGTGTTAATTTTTTTGAGTGATTTAACAAAATAGCTCATGATATGAAGATAAGATGGAGAATCGTAGACCAGCATACAGTCTAGGCATGCAGGAAGTAGATTCATGATGGAATGTGTGTTGACCACCTCTGCGGAGTGTTGAGGGCTCTCCTTGACCTAGCCTTTCATTCATCTGTCTGTTCATTCCTTTGATGATTACTCACTGAGGGCCTTCCCTGTCCACACACAGTCCTCGGAGTCTTGCAGCCTAAGATGCAACCAACAGTGTGAATTCACACAAAGTGATCTCCTCAGGTGTCTGCCTGAGATGATTCCAGAGAGGTATAGCCAGGATGAATAACATAAAAATAAAATAAAAATCATAATATAAAAACATAAAATTAAATTTAAAAAAATAACATAAAAATAAAATTAAAAAAATAAATAAAACTCCTAAACTGAAGTCAGGAGCCAACAATGGAAAACATTGGGATTCACAAAGTAAATGTAGAAGTTTCCAGGTAAGTTTTAAAAATCAACTCCTATAAACAGGGTTCTTCCAGAAGAGCAGGTGGAAATTGCTGAGATCCCGGGAATTATATTATTATTATTTTTTTTACTTTTGCAGGATGCCCCATAAATGGGCTATTATTTCCTGAAGAACCCTTTTCTCAGTTATTCAATAAGTGAAAGAGTGTGTGTATGTGTGTGTGTGTGTCTGCACATGTATATGTGTGTGTGTGCGCATGTGCGCATGCACACACACACACACACACACACACACTTCATTGTCTAGGGAATCATCCACAGGGCCATCAACACATCCATGGTGTTAAGATTACAACTATAATTCCAACTTCAGCTATTGGAATGACAATTATTAGACAAAAGTGGGCAGAGTTATTTGCTTTGAGGAGTAGTTAGGACTTTCTGAAATCTAGGCTGCACCTATGGTTAAGCTGTCCATAGCAGGAATACAACTTGTGTTATCAAATCTCTTGTGACTGTGATATCATCTCTCTTCCATCAGGATTTTCAGGGCAGCTGTGAACCCTGAAGACCCATTGCTTTTCTCATGCACAATCAGGTAGCCCCCACCTGGCCTCTATTGACGAATTCATTTGGGAAAAGAGTAACATCTGTTTCAGAGCAGAGGTAGATCCAAATGTGGTAAGTGCACTAAGTTTGAAGACTTAAAGCCATGAGTAAATAGAATGAAAGAGATCAATCAGCACAATCTTTCTTTAACTCCTCAGATAGGGCATTAATAGCCAGGATATACAAAAAACTCAAAAAACTGAACACCAAATAAATCAATAAATCAGAAAGGAACTGAATGGACAGTCCTCAAAAGAAGAAATAAAAATGGTCAACAATTGTATTTTTAAATGTTCACCATCTCTAGCAATTAAAGAAATGCAAATTAAAACTACAATGAGATTTAATCTCACTCCGGTCATAATGGCAATTATCAAGATTATAAATCAGATACAGTAGCATATGCCTGTAATCCCAGCAGTTGGGGATGCTGCGGCAGAAGGATTGCAAATTCAAAGCCAGCCCTCAGTAAGTTCTTGAGAAACTTAGCAAGACCCTGTCCCAAAATGAAAAATAAAAAGAGGGGCCAGGGATGTAGCTCAGTAACTAAGTACCCTTGAATTCAATCCCTGGTACAAAGAAATAAAAAATAAAAGTAACATTAAATGTTGGTGAGGATGTGGATACACTCATGCATTGTGTGTACACTCGTACATTACTAATTTATAGTAGTACAAGTTAGTGCAACCACTCTGGAAAGCAGTATGGAGATTCCGCAAAAAAACTAGGAATGGAACCACCATATGATCCAGCTATCCCAATTCTCCAGATATATCTAAAATATTTAAAATCAACATATACTTGCCCAAGTTGACAGCTAATAGTGATGCAGCCACATCAATGTTTATAGCAGCATAATTCACAATAGCCAAGCTGTGGAGCCAACAAAGATGCCTTAAACAGACCAATGGGTAAAGAAAATGTGGTATATATACACAACGGAGTATTACTCACCCATAAATAAGAATGACTTTATGCCATCTGCCAGTAAATGAACAGAACTGGAGACTATTGCGCTAAGTGAAGTAAGCAAGTCTCAAAAAGTCAAAGGTCAAATGTTTTCTCTGATATCCAGAAGCTATTCTAAAATAAGGGGGGTGGTAAAAAAAAATAGAAGAGCAAGCAGTGGAGTAGAGAAGGGGATTGAAGGGAAGGAAGAAGGAATGGGATAGGGAAAGGTGGTGGAATAAATCTGACCTAAATTTCCTATGTACATATATAAATATAGCACAGCAAATCTCACAATCACGTACATCCACAAGACACTAATTTCAAAAGAAAAAAAATATAAGTAAATAGCAGAAAGATCAGGAGAGTAGAGGGGATGGAAAATGGGGGCGTGAGGAAGAAAAGGAAGGGGGGAGTACTAACGACTGAATTAGAACAAAATATATTCCATGCTTTTATAATTATGTCAAAATGAATCCTATTGTTATGTATAACTAAAAAGAACCAATCAAAAATAAAAGCAATTTTATCAGAATGCATAACTTTACAAAACAGGGAAAAGCATATCTGCTTTGCCTGAAGAAGTAAATAGGAGCAAAGAAGGTCATAGTTCCATATGTTTCAATTCCTGCAAGTTGTCCCTGACCTTCAGGGGACACCTAAGAAGGTTCTGCAAATCTTAGTTTGAATACCACTGGGAGTCACTTTGCATGTGGGGAAACTGAGGTAAGGGGCTCAGAGAGAAAAGTCACTTGCCCAAGTTGACAGCTAATTGGCAGTGTAAATAGGGTCAATCTCCTGACCACCAAGGAGTCATATTCTACCCATGAACACGGTTACACTAAGAGAATTGGAAGGACATTTCACACACCAAAAGTGAGTCACTTTCTTCTTAACACATCTTTTATTAAGTGGATCGGGAATTAGTTACATCTCTCCTAAAACATAGTCCATTGTGGTGAAAATGGGAAAAAACATTTGGGGATAAGAGGAGAAAAAAAAATCTGCTTTGGCAGACACAAATGCATATTTTTTGCAAATTTGCTTCAAGGCATGAATTTGGATTTTTCTACTTTTCCCCAGGAATGTCAGCATTTTTAGTCTCAAGAACAGCTTTCTCAGCAAAATAATAGATTTTGGTCCATGAAAGTTGTCCTTTCCCCCCAACCCCCCCAAAAAAAAACACAGAAGTTTGAAAATCAATGAAAAATTGAGCATCTCTACCATCTCCTCTCTTTATTTTGGAGTTCATTGTCCCAAATAGGATTTGCACCTAGTTTATTTTTAAAGCAGGGGTCTGTATCCAAAAGCAGGAGAGGACTCCCTCTGCAAACTCCAAATGGTTTGACACAGTAGATGTCTGTCTGTATATTTTGTGTGATCCAGAGTACAGATACCAGATGAGACACCATAGGATAAGAGTCATCCTCCTCTCCCCAGACCCTACCTAGGTGTCACCCAGCCCATGAGACCTCTGCCTAGTGTTCTAATGCACTATTCATGCTTTATCAATTATATGAAACTTACCCTCACCTCTTTTTGTATTCTGGACTGTCTTCACAGTTGATTTTCAGTTCCCTGAACAAGAAAAAGTTTTGAATACTCCATATAATCTTTCACAGAGCTGAGTACATAGTTAGCACACATAGAACAATACATAAATAATTGAAAAATCTATTAAGTCCAAAATCACCACACTGTCACTACCATACTTCCTCATCTTTGTTCTACTCTTCCTCTCCTCTTTCTCAGAAAAAGCATGTGCAACCTTGGGCTACTGATTGCCTCTGAGCCTTCATTTCTCCAACAACACATGAGCATGAATGTAGTCTCACCACAGGCTCCTTGTGAGATGAGATGATGAGGAAGAACAGGAAAAAAAAATCCGTAAATATTCCTTTCCTTTATCTCTCTGAGACACATGTCTGTAGAGGTACATATACAGGCTTGAATTTGTCCGGTTTCTTGAGTAAATATTTGTCTCCCCAGGGTGTCTTGACAGAATATATGCCCTCCTACCCCTTTCTGTGTCTTCAAAGAGGTGTCTGCTTAACAGAACACTAAGCAGTCAAGCCCTAGGAGCTGCTATAAGATTAGGTGGAGAGACATAAGGGCCAGGGAAGCCTTACTAATGTGCAACCCAGGAATTTGGCTAATTCTTCAAAGGAACAAGTATGGAGTTGGAATCCACCAAATCATGCATTCAAAGAAATAAGGCTCAGGACAGCATTGTGCCAGGCCTAAGAAGACACGTCATTAAATTTTTTTTTTAAAAAAAGGGCTAAAAGTACAACTATTAAAGGAAAAAGTGGTCGGAGCACTGAACATTCTTTAAGAACAAAAAGGGAGCATATGCAGCCAAAGAGGAGGGAAACCCTGAGTTAGCACAGTTGGCTATCTTTTGGCTAAGCCCAGCACCCTTTGGCAAAGGTCTTAGCCCCCCCTCCCATACACAGAGCATCTTTAACTAGGCTCAGCTAATCATAGCTCTTTATCAACCTGGTCACATCAGCCCATGTTTGTTGTTGTGTTTAAATGCTCTTCATGGATCATCCCAATAGCCATATGAGGGAGATTCAATTATTAGAATTATACTGTCATTTAGCCTATTCAAGGTCTCACAGCTCCTGTGTGGCATGCACCCAAAGCAGACAGTTCCAAGTTCTTCCCTGGAATTTTTCCAGACTGGATATTATGGTTTGAATATGAGATGTCCTCCTAAAAAGTCCACATGTGAGACAATGCAAGAATGCAAAGAATGGAATTGATTAGATTGTGAAAGCTAAAATCTACTTGATGGATTAATCCACTTGAATGAATTAACTGGGTGCTAACTATAGGGCAATAGGGTATGACTAGAGGAAGTAGATCATTGTCACTTGGGCCATGTTTGGGGTATTTATATTTTGTCCCTGGCATATACCTCTTTCTCTCTCTCTCTCTCTCTCTCTCTCTCTCTCTCTCTCATAGATAGATAGATAGATAGATAGATGATTCCCAGCTGTCATGAACTGAGCAACTGTTTTTGCCACAACCCTATACCCTTCTGCCATGATGTTCTGTCTCACCTTGGGCTCAGAGGTATGGAGTCCATGCACTCCATAACTATGACCATGGACTAAACCTTTGAAACTGTGAGCCAAAATAAACTTTTTCTTCTCTAAGTTGTTTTTGTTGAGTACATTGTTCATTGACACAAAGGTGACTAATATGAAAATTGTTTCATAAATGTGGGGTCATTACTGTGACTAACTTGACGATGTTCTTTAAAAGATTTTGCAATGAGTTTAAAAAGTTTGGAAATGAAGGCTGAAAAAACCTTGGAATATATAAACAGAGTTTAATGAGTGATTCTGGTGAGAACTCAGAAGATCAAAATGCCAATAGGACTGCAAAGGAAATACTTGGCTCATGAAGTTTCAGAGGAGAGAGTGAACTCTACTGGAAGTTGGACTAGTAGTGGTCATCCATGTTACATTCTGGAAAAGAAGTTGTCTATATTCTGTCCACGTCCTGAGACTTTCTGTGAGGCTGAATTTAAGGTGATGGACTAATTAGTCTGACAAGGCAGATTTCAAGGCAGGACAGCATTTGGGCAGTGGCATGAATATTACTTGTGGCTTTCAGCCAAGTTTGCTATGACAATCAGGAGCAGAAAGCAGAGCAGAAAGATTTAAAAACCTTACAGTTTGGTTAGAAACATGTCAGTAAACTGGCATCAAGGAAGTAGTGGTTGCTAAAGAGATCACAGCTGCCAAAGAGATGCTAAGCACATTATGCAGAGACTATAAGAACAATGGCTTGAGGGCATCTCGAGAATTGGTGAGACCATACCCAAGACAAGCTGTGGGACATCTGCTGAGGAAAACTGCAGAAACAAGCTAACATAGAGGCCATGTGAGGTGCAATTAGCAAGGTCATAGGGGCAGAGCTACACAAGTTCTTTGGAGAGAACATTATGATGCCATGTGTCGCAGATACTAGACATGCAGCTAGAGGATTTATTTATCCAGGTGGATTTTGCCTTACTTTGGTCCCATTCATTCTTCCTGTGCCCTACTTCTCCCTTTTGGAATGGAAATGTTTATTTTGTGCAATTATATATAGGATATATGTAACTTACTGATTTTTTTGTTTCTCTTTTGATATTTCCTGAAATGCTTTTCCTAACACAAGAGCCTGCCAAGGCAGAGTTGAGGTTCTCAGTACACTTCTGTGTACCTCCTCCAATTCATCTAGTGACATACCTTTTAATCAAGCTGGTTTTTTCTTTACTGTTGAGTATTAAGAATTCTTTGTCTATTTTGGATCATAATCCCCAATCAAATATGCCTTTTGCAAATATTTTCTCCTAGTCTGTGGTTTATCTTTTCATTCACTTGATGTGGAAAGTTTTTACTTATAAATTTAAAATATTTTTATTATTTAAAATATCATTTTATATTATTTATTAAAACAATATTTTAAATTTGCAAATAAAAACTTTATTTTTTACAAAATAAAATAAGATTGTTCAGACTTTTAAGTTCCTGTTTTAGCAGCTTTTAAAACTATGGTTTTCAGGCTAGGGATATAGTCTGGTGGTAGACCAGACCTCGCAATCACAAGGATTCTGGGTTTGATCCTTAGTACTGCAAATAAAAAGATGTTATATTTTTCAATGAATTTACCCAAGTTGTAAACATTGTTGGCATGATACAATTCAAAATATCTCTTTAATTTTTTTTTAAATATTTGTGAAACCTGTATTAATTCCCCTTATTCCTAATATTGGTGATTCATATTTTCTTTCTTGAAAAGTCTTGCTATAGTATTATAAAGTTTACAAATCTTTTCATGAACATTTTGTTCATTTTCTGTATCATTTGTTCACTTTGTACTTTGTCAATATTCAATTTTATTTTAATTTTCTTTATTCTATTGACTTTGTAATTTTCTCTTCTTTTTCTAGTTTTCTAGTTTCTTTGTCTTTAATACATTTAGATTAATGTATTATTAGATACATTAATTAATTAATTATTAATATTAGACATTTAGATTTACAAATATCCTTTAAGATATTTAAGCTATATCTCACTTATTTTGATGTATTGAATTTTCATTAAGTCAAAATATTTTTTAATTTTTGAAATTTATTCTTGGGCCTATGAATTTTTTAAATCTGTTATTTAATTTCCAAATATTTGTATATCTAGATATCTTTATATTATAATATATCTATATATTACTTATAATTTAATGTGTGGCCTTCAGAGAACACATGCTACCTGATTTCAATTCTTTGAAATTTATTAAAACTTGTTTCTTAGAACTTTGTCATTCTTGCATTCAATTCATGTGTGATAAGAATGCCTAATCTATTGTCTGCTCAAAAGAATGCCTAATCTATTGTCTGCTCTAGGGTTCTGTAAAATGTACATTAGACCAAATATTTTACAATATTGCCCAAATTATATCACTGTTTTTTATTTATTCTGTAACTTTTCCTGACTATGCATTTTTCTTTTTCTCAATTCAGTTCTGCTCATTTTCATTTCATGTATTTTCTTGATTTTTGTTGGAGATATACACATTTGAGTTGTATGTCTCCCTGATGAATTGACCTCTTTATAAATATGAAGTGTTTCTCTGTATCAGTGGTATTACACTTTTCATTTGAAAGTCTATTTGTGTATAAAATCTTCTTTAAGACTGTTTCCAACTTGTTTGCTATTAAAATAACCACAGTACTTTTAGTTTTGTTTGTGTAGATTTTGTTTGCTTGGTTGGTTTGGATTTTACTTGATATTTTATGCTACATATTCTTCCATTCTTCTACTTTCAACCTATCTGTGGCTTTGTATTTAGTGCACTTATTACACACAGCTTATTGCTATGTTTTTTAGCTATCCAATATGACAATCTTGAACTATTACTAGGATTATTTCATTAATAATAAAATAATCATTATATCTGGATTTAATTCCACTCTTGTGCTTTTTATCTCTATTTGTGCCATCTGATCTTTCTCTTTTCCTCTTTTATTGTTTTAGAATTCTATTTCCTTCACTGATGTTTTAGTTATGTCTCTTTGTTTGTGTGTGTGTGTGTGTGTATGTGTGTAGGTGTGTGTTATTGTTGCTACAGATTTATTATTTGTCTTTTACTAATCAGAGCCTACATTAGTAAAACATTCTACTACTTCATGAAATGGATAAGACCAAAGTTACATTTTTTTTGTTTACCATCCTTCTGTTCTTCATGAACTTGCTGTGATATATTTTATTTCTATATGTGCCTGTCCACTGGACCCATTAATTTCTTCTACTCCATAATTCTTCTCCATTAATTTCCCCCCTCTCTTCTGAATCATCCCTTTTTATTTCTGTTGGATCATTCTCATTAGGACACAGACATGGTATTACTTTTCCCATCATGGGAAAAAAAAAAAAGTTCTTCACTCCACATCCACCTATACTTTTACATTATTTCTCTGCTCTCCTTTGCAATAAAACTTCTTAAAAGTGTTTCTTCCATTTCTATGCTTTTTTTTTCTTTCCCATATTTTGAGAATACACTAGTTAAAATTTTACTCTGAATTTATTCATCCTTAGAAAAATGCTCTTAAGGATACTGGTGATGTCTACTTTATTAAACTCAACAAAAATATGGTCAATTCTCAATTCTTATCTTAAAGACGTTGATCCACCAGCAGAACCAGACACACTCCCTCTTCTTTGGAGTACTTTTTTCTAATGGCTTTCTTGTAGATTTCTTGCTGCCTCACTTGATTAACTTTCTCAGTTTCTTTTTCTAGTTTCTCCTCAATTCTCCTATGCCCCAGAGTTCACACCTTGAGTTACCTTCCTTGTCTGTTTATAATCATTATCTTGGTTATCTCACCTATTCTACTGGCTCAATTCCTAATTTACATCTGCATTCTAGAGCTCTTTACTGAATTCCAATTCTGTGCACACAATTGTCTCCTTGACATCTTCATTTTGATTCTAAAAAGATGTTTTAAAATTAAAAAGACATAACTTGAACTCCTAATAACTCCCCAAAGCCTCCAAAATGTGCTTCTTCCACATTTTTTTCCATGTCAGTAAATGAAAATTTTATTCTTCATATTGTTTAAATCAGAAATCTTGGGATCATCCTTATCTCTTCTCTTTCATTCTTATACTACATAATCAGAGACTACTGCTGATTTTACCTTCAAACTATATTCAGGCTATGACTACTTCCACCATCTCCACTTCATCCAACACCATCTTAGTCATTACTATCATCATCTCACCACAGTTACAATCTCCAGACTTGTCTAACTAATTCTTTTCACCCTCCAATCTGTCCTCATTTCTGAAGTCCCAGTGATCCTGTAAAATCATTCGCTTACTCAAAATTCATTAGTTTCCTGCCTCACTCAAGATAAAATCCAATGTCCTTATAATGACCCATGAGGCCCTGTATGATATTGACTTCTGATACTTCTGTGCACCCCATTTTATTACTTTTCTACTTATTCATCCCAATCCATTTTTTTCTTAACTTCTTCACTGTTTCTTCATTGTGACAGATATGTTTTGGGATCTTTATACTTGTTCTTCTATCAGAATTTTTTTGTTATTGTTTTCAGATATCTTCTTGAATCATTCCCTCACTTCCTTCAGATATTTGTTCACAAGTACTCTTATGAGGGAGGTCTTTCCTTAATATCCATCTGCTCCCACACATCATCACCTTTCCCTGTATCTGTCCCTTTCTGTATTCATCAGGGTTCTGCAGATAACAGAAGCAATAGGATGGATGGATGGATGGATGATGGATGGATGGTGGATAGATGATAGTTATAGAGATGGAGACGATAGATAGATAGATAGATAGATAGATAAAGAAGGTATCTTTGTGAAGATTGAGTCATAGGATTAGAGAGGCTGAGATGTTCCATGATATGTAATCTATAAGCCAGAGTACAAAGTAACTTGTTAGCATACCTTAGTCCCATTCTGAAGCCCTGAACATCAAGGAAACCAAAGGAATAACTCAAAGTTCAAGGTTGAGCGACAGAGCAACTAAAGGGCTACTGGAGCAAGTCCTAGAGTCCAAAGACTAGAGAACCTGGAGTTCTGATGTTCAAAGACAGGGAAAGAAGGCTATCCTAGATCCAGAAGAAGAGCAAATTTACCTTTTCTCTGCTTTTTTATTCTATCCAGGTCCTCACCTGACTGGATGGTGCTTGCCCCTGTTGAGTAGAACTTTCTTATTCATTCCACTGATTCAAAAGCCAATCCCTTCTATAGACACCCTAACAGACATATCCAGGAACAGTGCTTTACAGCTGTCTTTGGTATCCCCTTTTTGAAGTTGATACCTAAAATTAATCATCACACTTCCCTTACTCCCTCTCCACATATTTATTGTGTATTGTCATCTCTCTGCTCTTAGAATGTAAATGTTATGAAAGCAATAATTTTTTTGTCTGATTAGTTCACTGATGCATTTCCAGGGCCAAAAGTTTATCTGGTAGATAACTGACATTGGCATCACTAATCACTAATCACATGCTTCATCTTGGTCGGTTTAGCATCAATTTAGATACTAACTATATGCATCCTTTCTTTCTTTAGTGGTCAATCCATGACCTTCACATAAATGTTACTCCAGGGGAAAAATGAGTTCACTCAACAAATGTTCTACTATGTCCATAGTGTCTATTATGTATATTGTCTATTATATATAGACACTGTAGTGTCTATTATGTATCAGATATTGTGTAAGGTGCTTATGACAGGATGACTGGTAAATTATACAGGTTCTTTCTTTAATGCATAAATAGACATACAGCATCTCTCCAAAATCTGAATTAGTAATTAACTTCATAAATATGGTTCAGAAATAAGTCTCCAATGAGTAAGCAAGAAAATAAAATATTTATTTTAGAAATGTTATCCAGTGGATCATAGTGTGAAGTGATTAAAATGAGTTCTATGGCTCAATTAACAAATCTAAGAATATTTAATCTATATCTAGGGTCCTTTTCTAAATGTTTTAAAATTTTGGACACCCTTTGCTTAGTCTTCCATCCACATACCACCAAGTATGTGCCTTATAATGACAATCCAGGGAACATGAAGCTGATATCCCTCCTAGGAGTACTGAGTACCTACTTTGGAGCTGGAAGGTAGGATGCCATAATTTGGATCTTAATATCCCCCAGAGCCCATGCATTAAAGGCTTGTCCACACAGGGTGCTTTCAGAAGAGAGTGGAATCTTTGATAAGTAGGACTTTATGAGAATTCCTTAGGTCATTGGGGCCATGCCCCCAAAAGGGATTGTAGAATCCCGACTTGTTCTCTCTTTTTTTCCTGGCCAAAAGGTGAACAATTTGGCTCTGTCACATATTCCTAATATGAGGTTGCCTTGCCACAAGCCCAGGACCAGTCCATCTTGGACTAGAATCTCCAAAACAGCAAACTAAACAAAACATTTCTCTTTATAAGTTAATTATATCAGATATCTTATTATAGTGACATAAAACTAGGGCATAAGATGTCGACACCTTACTTTGATTCATTAACCCCACACTGCTGACAAAAAAAAAAGTCATTTCTAACCTCATTTCAGAACAAGTCACAATGTATCAGAAAATAGTCCTTCAGCTTTTAGCAATTAAGTGAGGATTCAAATACATCATAATGATTTTCCAAACCCCACACCTTCAACTAATCTAAAACTCTCCTGCCACAAATTTTCCTAGGCTCATGTGATTTTTCTGATCAGAACGAGGCTGTTGGGCTCCACAAGGACAATTAATTACAAGTCCTAAGGAACCTTACAAGTGCTAAGTCTAGTAATTTTTTTCTCCATCTCCTTCTCTTTCCTGTCCCCACCCAATCTCCTACCATCCTCTTTCCCATTCCCCATCAGTATCTGCTCCCTGGAGTCTTTCATTCTCTCTGAAGCACAGCGATTGACAACAACTGAAAATCCAGAGTTTCCTAAAAGGAAGCATTTGTCCATGTTTCAGAATCTTAAGCTAATTTCAAAACAAGTAAATAAAATTTGTTTATTCACCTGTTGCATGAGAAATGCCCGTGCATCTACTGAGATTTCTCAGCAATTCCTAAAACTAGTCCTCAAGAGAAATGTGGCACTGGAATGGACTCCTAAGAAGCACTGAGAGCGCTCTGACTGCAATCCTAAGGCAGGATATCTACTAGGTATGGAGCATCCACCTTTTGTCCCTGCAGTTTGGAAAAATGCAAATATCACAGGCCATGGGGGTATAGCTCAGTGATAGAGCATTTGACTGCATCACAGGTCCTCTGTCCATAGGCACTCTAGGCAGTTATTTTCCATATTTGATGTCCTAAATGAGTCATTGTGAGAATTTAGAGGTGGTTTCTACAAAATACTGGCACATAGTAGGCACTGTATACATGGAAGCTGCTTCATGGTTTTCTCTAATTCTCCTAACCAACGGTATTGGGTCTACTGGTCCTTCTTTTGAACCTGCTAATAAAGTCAAGGAACCCTTTGAATAAAAATGGTGTTGGAGTGTATTGCCTAATTAACTAGGCTGGTAATTAAATTGCAATGGAAACAGCCTATATGCACTTAACTAGACATTTATTATAGCTTAATAAGGTAACGACTGTATGATAAATACCACTTGATTACAAGGAATAGATAAATTCTTTGCACACTAACAAATGCCGGTGACAGGCTGAAAGTATTACAAAGTTTGTGAGGGTTCTTTCATTAAGAAATAAGCGCATTAATTCCCTTACCTACTTATTCTGTCTCCTCATATGAGAAGCATTCAATTGATTAAACAAACATGATGAAATGACCTGTTAATCTGCTTTGCCAAAGCTCATGGTTTTTGTGATTTTGTGATTGAGCATAGTTGGACTCTGATGATTCCACATGGAGAGGTGACATATCAGAAAACGGGAGCACCCTTAGAGGCCAGCTGGCTCACTCCTTCCTGAGAAATCTGAGGCCAAGGAAGAGGCACACCTTACCTGAGATCACACAGTGAAGAGGCTAGGGACACAGCCCTGCCCTCCATGATGTCTTCTCACATGTTCTTTTCTCCCCCAATGTGGATATGAGCTTGCAGAAGTCATTCTTCTCATCTTCCATGAAATGTTTACCTGTTCATTGACATAAAATGTCCAGTTCTTTCTTCTAGAGTGGAAAACACATCCTCTGAAATGGGGACCTAAAAGGCAGAAATTCACAGAAAAGTATAAATGACTAATGAAAAATCCTATTCGGACAGTGGGTTTTGACACAGATGGCAGGACAAACAGACAGCAATCATTAGGGCCAGTGGTGTGCTGGAGCCAGCTCACACCAGATCAGATTGCAGGAATTGAAATTACCTCCCCTTCCTTGCTTTGTGAAGACTTCATGGCAGCCTGAAATCAACCCTTATATGGTATTTACACCATGGATAACCAAAATACTATAACCTGGTTAGGGCTTTGGGAGTTGGAAGGGAGTGGGTAACGAGGACTGAGGGAGCGAGTAGGAGGTTGAGTTAGGTTGTGTTTGATGAAGGCCAACAGGGACCATTTTCCAGATTTGCCAAGAGTTGTTCCTGGGCATAGCTTTCATCCCCAGGATCTTTCTGATCCAAATCCATGTGCACAGACATTTTTTTTTAATTAAAAGGAACTGAACACAGAAAGGAAATAAATAGGGCTACATAAGAAGATAATTCAGAGTACACTCCTGATTGAGTAAAGTGATTGGCATTCCAGATAGAGATAGAGACACAGATAGAGGAGAGAGAAATATATCTGAGATTCTCCATTGGTTGAGTATAAACATAATGTTTGAAAAAAAAAAGTCCTATAGCACATTTTTTAAGCTTTGTAAAACTTAGGTATAAAATGCTAAAAAATTGTGGCTCTCATAATCACCTGTCACTTAATTAAAGTCTAATAATGGCCTTATTATATCAAAGAAAATCCTTCCTGAATGCAGACAGCAGACAAAAGAACCTGAACTCAATATTTTTTATTGAAATCATGCCATCTGGTTCTTTGTTATACTACAAGATGAAAGAACATAATAGTGGTATTATCCCAATCATGTGAGCTGGCATTGCAGGGTAGGAATTGGAAATTAAAAGAATATTTTATCAAATAAGAAATCATATGTTTAAATCAATTACTTACCCAGCCTTGTTGCTAATACACACTGAAGTGAAGAGATTTAGAGAGCATTCAGCACTGTTTTTCCTTCATATTATTTTCAGGCTATGTTTGAAGGTGAGGTCCTTAGAGGTTGAAGCAGCTTCTCGGCTTCCTATGGTTCTACAGTGAGATTTTTCTCCTAAAAAAAGGCCTGAGAGGTGGTGGCCAACCAATTCCAGAGCCCTAAACCATGTGTCTTCTGTGGAAAGCAGTTTGACAAGCAACTCCTCAGAAGAATCTAAAATCTCCAATTTACTTTCATGTGTAGCCAGAGCTGTGAACCACTGTTCCTGGCCATTATCAGTCTCATCCTGTCTTGCCCTCTCTTCCAGGGTGAGTGCGTCTCCCCTCGTTATCATCAAAACAGAATAACACAGTTGTCCCCTCCCTTTCCTCCCATGACATTTACCTACTAAATGCTATTTATCATATGTCCCATTATCTCAGTGCAACATCAAAATCAATCTTCCAAGTAGATATTATTATTCCTATCTTATTATAAGGAAGTTATGAACTGTTTTACTCACACCACTTCTGGTGAAATAGGTGTGTTTTATTCTCCACTAAACAATTCTCCAATTTTTCGGATACAAACTAAGTGTCTTGCAATCAATACAATTCTGGCATTAACTCCCTGGAGTTAGTACATACCCTGCAGGTAAAGGGTTCAATTCCATAAGACCAACTCCACTTCAGATACAGGTTACACATCCTAGGTTTCCACCTACATATAATTATCTATAGAACCAATTGTAGTATCAGTTTATCTACTGACTATATTTGCTGGATTATATAATTCTATATTTAAATTTTTGAGGAATTTATATAATTTTTTTCTATAGTGGTTGCTCCATTTTATATTCCCCAAATCTATAACAAGGGTTCCAATTTTCTCCTCACATTTGATGATTTATTAGAACAGCTCACAGAACTAAAATAGGCACCTTACCTTCTATTACTGACCAGCTAAATGGAAGAGATGCATAGAGCAAGGTATGAAGACAGAATATGAGCTACAATACCTTCTCCAGACATGCCAACCTCTCAGCACCTCAGTATGGTTACCCACTTGGAGACCTATCACTTAAGGTTTTTATAGAGGTTTTTTTACATAGGTATGATTGACTAAATCATTGGCCAATGGTAACTGAACTCAATCTCCCGCTCTTCTCCCTCTCCAGAGGTCCAGAGATGGGATGAAAATTTCCAATCCTCGAATCACATGGTTGTTTCCTCTGGCAATTACCCCAGCCCAAAGTTTTCTTGAGATTCTTCAAGAGCCTCCTCATTAGTGTAAACTTAACTATTATTGAAATGGGGTTCATCTGGATTACAAGAAAGATCTTGACAACCCCATCCCTTAAGAAATTCAAAGAAATTTAGAAGTTCTGCATCAACACCCTGGGACAAAGACTGTGTGTGTGTGTGTGTGTGTGTGTGTGTGTGTGTGTGTGTGTCATATTTTCACAGAAGGTTAAGAAAGTGTGTGCTGAAAGTAGGACAATACCAGGAAATGTGCCATGACTCCACCCAGGTCCTATGATATGAGACCCAGAGCTCCACCACCTACTTTTAAAAAATGCTGATGCTTGGGCCTCAATCTCTACAACTCTAAATTTTATTGGTAGGTTCCAAAATCCACTAATTTTCTCAACAGTTTCAAGGGAGATTTTAATATACAACCACCTTTGAGAAGCATTCAGCTGGAGAATATGGTCAAAATCCTAGTCATCCCAATGAGTACATGAAAAGATAATCAGCATTCCTAACCATTAAAGAAATGAAACTCAAAACCACAATGAGACACAGCTTCACATTGTTAGGATAACTACCAGCAAAAAAAAAAAAAAAAAAAAATGTTCACAAGGATATGAAGAAATTGAAATCTTGTGCACCATTGCTGGGAATATAACATAGAAGACTATATATAGAGATAGTCTATTATGTATTATAAATATGTTTATGTATTATATGTTTATACACAAATATATACATACAATACATAAACATTTATAAATATATGTATGCATAATGTATATATATATATATATATATAT